GACTTCTTTGGAAGTAGAAGAGTTTTCGAAAATTATTTTGATGGAGGAGTTTTTGAAATTGTTCCTTATATATGAATAAAAGCTTTTCTTATATTTGGAAAACCTAAATTTGGAAAAAAATGTCAATGGCCCTTAAAATACTAACAACAGTTAAACGAATATTTGACTGGTTTTTCAAAATTAATTCCTATGAATCTAACTCAGCATGTGTTGAAGTAAAATGAGGTATATTCAGATAAATAGAAATTTAAAAATTCTTAAAAATCAGTTTTCCATGGTTTCTTAACTTGTATTCTGGAAAGTACAGTTAAAGGAAATGCTGTTATACCTTAATAATCAAACATACCATTTTCTGGAAACCTTTTATCTAACTCATTAATATGATGTTAAATTAATGGAGAAGTAGTGCTATGCTTAAAATAGTCACAAACTGTATTTTTTAGATAATTATACTGGTAAACCTGAAAAGTACACAATCTAGGTCTCCCTTCTTGGATATCAAGACTAAAACCAAAAGCCAAACTAAAAGCAATAGCTACTACAGCTAAACTAAGTGTATGGTTTGTACAATGACTAAAAAAAGCATTATGATTAAGAGCTTTTATTCAAGAAGCAACTCATTTATATTCACATCTCGAAAATCCTGTACCATCATATCCGTGGCTTCTACAATTTTGAATATCAAGTTCAAAAGTTGTCTTGAAGTGTATTAAGTAATTTTAGTAAGTAATTTTAATAAGTAATTTTATGAAGTAATTTTAGTAAGTAATTTTAGTAAGTAAATTTAGTAAGTAATTTTAGTAAGTTATTTTAGTAGATTATTTTAGTAAGTAATTTTAGTAAGTAATTTTAGTAATTAATTTTAGTAAGTAATTTTAGTAAGTAATTTTAGTAAGTAATTTTAGTAAGTAATTTTAGTAAGTAATTTTAGTAAGTAATTTTAGTAAGTAATTTTAGTAAGTAATTTTAGTAAGTAATTTTAGTAAGTAATTTTAGTAAGTAATTTTAGTAAGTAATTTTAGTAAGTAATTTTAGTAAGTAATTTTAGTAAGTAATTTTAGTAAGTAATTTTAGTATGTAATTTTAGTAAGTAATTTTAGTAAGTAATTTTAGTAAGTAATTTTAGTAAGTAATTTTAGTAAGTAATTTTAGTAAGTAATTTTAGTAAGTAAATTTAGTAAATAATTTAGTAAGTAATTTTAGTAAATTTAGAGATGGAAATAAAATATAGAGATAGACTACGACCAAATTTACCAGTCTTGCAATCAGTAAATGTTAGAAAATCCTCGCAAATCACATTATTTGACTTTACATATCTTTAAAAAAGTCACATTTGTTCAGTATTTGAACAGTCAACTGCTTCATCACAAATAATTAAAAAAGATTGGAAAGCTCAACATTTTTTATTAAAGCTACCTCAATTGTTTTCCCACAAGAATCAATAAATTGGGTTTGGGTAATTTTTGATATAATCGACCCGGGATAACTCAGTTGGTTAAAGAGCCGGGATAGCTCACTTGATTAAAGCGCTGCTAAAAAGTTCGGAATAATTGTTGGCCGTAGCAACAGGATTGAAGGTTCAAATCCCGGCTCCGCCTACTCAGCGTTTGAGTAGTACTTCGGTACGAAGGAAACTCATCTCGATTAGTTCTGCTTTTACGATGTTTTTTTCTCGACTAATAAATAAATAATCTAGTAGAGTAAATGAAAATTACCGTTTTTTTACTTGATCACCAGCATCAACGCAAATTTTCAAAAGCTGTATGAAGTTAACTCTTCCAACCAAGAAATATTATTGTTATAATTACTGGGACAAATTTTTTTCAGTTTTCATAAAAAAGTTTTAAACATGTATTGTGTAAATTAACCTCAATAACATTACTTTTGGGGTTGCAACGTGAACGTAATGCATTGTAAAACACAACTTTTTCATATTTTTAAAAATCATGAACAGCATTACCCGATTCTTGATGAGGCTTGTAAACTAAATTTAGTATTCCAGACTTATTTGGAATACTAGCACATAGCAAAGTAAAAGAAAAAACAGTAAGCTCAATCTTCTTTGCTAAAATAAGCTAATCAAAAATAGTGGCTGAGTTATTCAGTTTTAAATGATGTTTTTGTATTAATTGTCTATTAAATAGATATTTGAAAATCAAATATAGAATTACGACGAAATACTTTGTTTACCATGTCTAACAAAATTGCATTGTCTTTGTCAGCGGTTAAAAGTTTACCATGGGTTAGATACGTTAAAACATCATATAAAGTATTTGAGTCTTTATATAAAGAAATATTAACTGAACTTGAATCTAATTACTCAAATATTTTAGAGTCTACAGAAAGTTCAAAAGGCCACTCTATAAAAGAATTGTCTTTTTTTTAAATTAATTTTAGATTTGATTATGACATGTTTTGCAAAATTAACTTTTTCTGTAAAAGAAACAGAGAATTGTTTTTTATTTGTTTCATTTTTAGGACTAATAAAGTGTAAAGGATAAGTAAAAATAAATTAAAAAAAGTATATAAAACAAGATCAGTTTATATTATTTTCTAGCTGGAAATATATAACACCATTAACTTTAGGAATTGGGTATTACCTTAAAGCAACATAATCTTTTCTATATTCTGGCTTCTGGATAAAACAATCCATTTCAGAATTTTCAAGACTGACTATATGGCTGCACTGGACACTTATTATTTAAAATTTTTAACTCTTTAGTTAACTGATTTTTACATTTTCGAATATTTTGCAATTATCTAGCCTTTATTGCATTTGAGACTTGAAATATTTTTTGCAAATACCTATTATTGCGATTAAATGAATAAATAAATTATTGCGAATATTTTGCAAATATCAAGTCTTAATTGCATTTGAGATTTGAAAAAATTCATTTTTGTTTCAAAACTTTGATATTAGCAAAGTCCTACAACATAAATTACGAGCGAAATACCTATATCAAGTGGCGAATCAGAGTTTTGTAAATTTTGAGCGATTTGGAGCAACTGATGAAATTGTTCTAATTGTTCCACAAATTGATTGGTTAATAAAAAAATTCTCTTATCATATTTGAAACATTTTTAGATTTTTTGCGAAAGGTTTGAAGCAACTGATGCAATTGTTATTTTAATAAATAGTGATTGGTTTGAGCTGTTTTTTCAACCAATTTCTAATGATTTAGAGAACAATTGCATCACTTGCTACAAAGTGATATAAAACATTTGTAAAAATGTACTTTTTTTAAACATCTTATTTGTATTTGGTGAAGATGCTCCAAAACGAAGGAAATTTTGTCTAAGTAATGTATAAGTAATTATAGAGATCAAACAAAATCGATTTTTTTTGTAATAATTTTTTTTGAGTTTAAAACAAATTCTACATTTTTTGAGAATATCAGATGCTAATTTCTACTTTATATTTTTATTATGAACAAAGTGAAAAAGAGATACACTTAAATTTAGCGGTGCAAAAGGACTGGAGCACGCGCATCAGTGGCGACACCCTAGATCCGCCCCTGTATTTTATAGCTTTTTGATCAATAATAAGAATTCACTTAAAATTGCTTTTTAGTATTTTGTTTGGTCACGAAAGGGTTAATTTAAAATTGCTTTATATCATCGAAAGGGACTTAAACCTCATCAGTTTTTTACTGTTTGTTATTGTTACTCACTATTATATTTATATGCAGTTTTTTAAGTGAAAATATATTAAATGATTGATTGATTATGTATATATATATATATATATATACATATATATATATATATATATATATATATATATATATATATATATATATATATATATATATATATATATATATATATATATATATATATATATATATATATATATATATATAAAATATATATATACAAGATATAAATGTTTATGAACATATATTACATGGACAAGATATAAATGTTTATGGACAAGATAAAAATCTTTATGGACATTTATTTCTTATTTTCATAAATATCTAATAAATTTATATTACAATCGGATTTATCTTGATAAGTAAAGAAATAAAGTTCTATAATTAGTATGAAGTTTGAATCTATTGATTCAAATTTCAAGTTATAAAAAGAAAGCTTGTGGTCATGATCTCACAAAATATTTTAAGTAAATTTTTTTTGCCTATTCAATGACTGTTTGTAGTTCATATTTGTTTATTAAATTTATAATCTAAACAAAATATATTACTACAAAGCTATATATTTAAACTATAAGTTAATTCTTGATAACTATAACTAAATATTTGGGATTTTTAGCATAAAAACTGACAACTTTCAAACCATTTTAAAAAAATTTATATTTACGCCTTAGTAAAAATAGTACACGGAGAACATACTCTAATATACTTCATTGGGTTGCAAACGTTTTTGGACGTCCCAAGACGTTCCATTTTAGACTTGGACAAATAGACCTAAACGGTACGTCTTATTGACGTCCAAGGACGTTCTGCGTACTCTGGAAAACTGTATTTCGATAGATTATTATCCCGGTAAACCTCAAATTACACAACCTATGTGTCACTTTTTGTTATATCATATACTTTTATATAACAATTGTAACGATTCATTACTTTTTAAGTGGGTATTCTAAATAATATATCTAACTAAGTTACATAGGAGCATAGGATAAAAGTTTATAAACGAAATATTTAAAGACCACAATAGTTTATCGAAAGAAAAAAAAAGCATTTATTAAAATATTAACATGAACTCAAGTGTTTATATTTGAGATATGACATATTTGAAACATTTAAATAATATTTCTATTATTATTATAAGTATTTGTATAAATATTTGATTCATGCTACAGCATATTTATTAGAACAGTTTTAAACTAGTAGTTATCTTATGTTTACTTAAACATTAATTTCACTGATTTTATTTTTGTATTTTATTTAAAAAATTGTTTTTCATGTAGGATTAAATTTGCATTAAATGTTTTTTTAAATAACTAGTTAAAAAAATAACTTTATACTTGTTTTTAGTTGATGGAGGATTTTCACAGTGGAGTGCTTACTCTACATGTTCAGTAACTTGTGGAAATGGTTTACAAAAAAGAGAAAGAACTTGTACAAATCCAGTTCCTAGTGGAGGCGGTAAAGACTGCGTTGGCAACTTATCGGAAACAATTAAATGTAACCTAGATAAATGCATTGGTATACGTTTTTTCGTTTTTTTTTTTTTTTACAATGTGATTGACTTTACTATGACTTTAATAAAAATAAAATATTTTCTAAACACTGCATTTAAAAACAGAGTTTAAAAAATATATTACATTAAAAACATTTATTTCAACAAATAGTAAACCAGTTTGATTTATTAGGATTAGCGCAACTTCAACTGATTAAAAACTAAATAATGATTTTACAAATGTAAAAGTTAAAACTGTAATATTTGCATCAGATATATCCGATAATTTTGAATAAGACAATATTTGAAATAAAAAAACTTATTGAACACACCCTTTTAGAAAAAAATCCAAAACGAACATATAATGACATTAGTAGGAAACCTTACATCAGTTTCCTATTTTCTGCAAACTTAGATAATATTTTCTAAAGTTATAATGTGAGCAGTGCTGTTAACAGTTGTTTTCAAACATTTTAAAATCATTATTATGAGAAGTTTGCGGTGTTAACAAAACTTATAAAAACTAAAACATTTTTAAATTCCAGGATTACACCAGGAATCGTAAAATTATGGGAAAAATAACAACTTTTATATAAAGCATATAATAGGAAAATGAACTTAAGAAAATGAATTAGTATTAAAAATATGAAAAGTATTAAAAATATAAAAGTATACAGAAGAATATTATTCTGAAGTATTTAATTGTGGTTTTGAGTATTATTCTTTATCTAGATTTCTATATAACAGACTTTTATATAAGACTACTATATTCCAAGTATTTTACTTCTTCAAAAAATTACATTAAACATTTTTTCTTCTCTTAAAGGTTTTGAATACATCAGTGATATTTAAATAGGCAAAAAACTGTCATGAAAAAAAAAGTAATTTATTATTAGGAGAAGTCTAATAACAAAATGCATTTTTACATATTCTTCTTATACATGTTGTTGGGTCTTTGTTACAAGTTGTTGGGTCTTTGTTAGGAAAGGCTAAAAAATACCTAGTTCCTTACAATCAACGTTTTTACCTTTAATGTTGGTTTCAATTTGCGGTGGCCCAAAATCTTTATGCTGTTTATAACTGAATGCTGTTTATTTATTTGAGCAGGCAAATCATTTGATTGATTCATAAATCAGATAGAAAGTTAAAGGCTATAAGTTGTGATAACAATCATATCAACCACTCTAGTTTAATTGAAGAGAGTTATTTTATTCTCATTATTAAACCAAAAAGATGCATCTATCAAATTAGAAGAACAAATAAAAAATAGCAAAATTATTCCAACATCCAACATCCACATTGACTACTAAATTTCAAAGACATTTGTGCAAAATAAAAAAAGATGGTAAACTAGAAACAAATACATACTTTAAAATGTATTCATCAGATTGTAACCCACCAAGAATTTACAGAATGATTAAAGCTCACAAACCAGAAAAAGATTACCCCATGTGGCCTGTTGTACCAACAATTAACACACCACCTTATGGAACATCTTATTATCTTGTTAAAATTATTCAACCAACTCTGATATTCAACTCAACAAAAATAAAAGTAGACTTATGAATTCTAATAGTTTTGTAAAGAAAGCTAAGCAATGGAAAATACATCCTAATGAAGTTCAAGTTTCATTTGATATTATCAATTTATATCCATCCATACCCATTGACGAAACAATTTCGGTTGTTATTGATATATTGAACATTAATGACTTAAAAACTCGAACTAAACTTACTCTTGCAGACATACATCAATTAACTGAACTTTCATTAAGCATATGCTACTTTTCATGTAAAAACAATATCCGAATAATTATTATAGGACCTGAATTAGGTATTATTCAATAATACCTAATTCAGGTCCTATAGGTTTATCTTTAATGGTTGTTATGGCGGAAGCGTTTTTACAAAATATAGGAAGAAAAGCTCTTAACATAGCAATTATTCATACATCCAAACCAAAAAATTACAAGAGATATGTAGGCATTGTCACGATCACTTTGCTTTAATAAGACAACAACAAATGTTCCTGAACATCCTTAATGAACAACATCCTGCCATAAAATACACATTAGAACTTGAAACGACCTCAAACAACTCAATTTCCTAGATATTATTATTACAAATACAGGCTCCGGAGCTTATGAATTTCAAATACATAGAAAAGAAGCTATTACAAATGTTCAACTTAAACCTAACTCGAACATTAATCTTAACATTATTATTAGCGTTTTCAAAGGATTTTTATGTCGTGCTAAAAGAATATGCTCTCAAAAACACCTTCAAAAAGAAATTGATTTTCTAATAGAAATCTTTGTTGAAAATGGCCACGACAAAAACATTCTAAATAATATTACTATAGACTATTTAAAAAACGGTTCAAAAAACATCACATTTCAACAAATAGATACCCAACCCTTTATAAAACTACCTTGGATACCAATTGTTAATCCAAAACTTCGTAAAGAATTTCGTAAGCAAAACATAAAGGTTATTTTCACATCAACTCCCAATTTAAAAAATATTTTCTGCAACAATAAAACTAAACTACCACTAAACACAGACCTTGGCGTACCCAGGTAAAATGTTCATGCGGTTCGATATGCATTGGCGAAGCTAAAAAGAAGGTGATATCGAGATGTGTTGAACACCAGAAAAACAGGTTAAAAGGAAAATGGTCCAGTTCGGATGCAACTGAACATTCAAAAACATGCCATGGTAAGTTTAATTGGTTGCACCCCAAAAAATTATCTGTAGCCCCAGAATATTGAACTCGGAAAATCAGAGAGTCACTCGAAATAAGCAAGAGTTCGACAGGAATTGAGAAATGTTGATGTGGTTCTCAATCAGGATAACGTAACAACTAAAACATGGGGCCATTTTTTAATAAGATCTGCTGACGTCAGTTATTTGAAAGTTTTTTTTGTATTATATTTTTTCTTTTTAGTGTTATCTTTTTAACGGTTTGTTTTTACTATAACGATTTTTTTGTAACTATTTTATTTATTATACCTGATGACGGTGATCACAATAAATCAGCGAAATATCGAAACAATGATATATTAAAGAAAAAATATATATATAGTTAAAAAAAGTTTATACGCAGCCGTATTTATTGAATTCTAACCTAATTTTAACGTTTAACAAGAAAATGATTTTTTTAGATTATATATATATATATATATATATATATATATATATATATATATATATATATATATATATATATATATATATATATATATATATATATATATATATATATATATATATATATATATATATATATATATATGTATACATTTTTTTAACATTGCGCGGTTGTATTTTTTAAACAATATAATATTTTTTCAATTTTAATTTCTTCATTGATTTTTGTTTCTTTTATTACAAAAAGACATTCTTTAATGCAGTGGTTGATTTTGATTTTTATAACTTTTTGTTTTTTTTAAATTTGCCGTTACACATTATTACTTTTCTTTTGTAAAATATACGAATGGCGCGGGCAAGAAGAAGACAAAAATGGTTTTATTGCAAAACCCCTATTATATATTCGTATCTATATTCGAACATAACAAAGTCATTAAAAAACTGTCATTAAAAATTGATCATCATGTGTTTTTTTAAGTTTGAGTTTATAAAATTTAATTTAGTTGACAATTATGGTTTTGTATTTTTTGGAAATACAGTTCTGTAGCAACCGCGGGAGGGAGCAGCAGGGGTTTTCCCCCTACCCCCCCTTTTTTTGCCATTTTTCGTATAAAAGTGGCAAAAAATCCTAAAAAATATAGTGTCCTCTCAAAAAGTTTGGGGCTCCTTAATCTTCAGGGCATGGTGTTATAGCCCCCTGAATTCAAAACAGGTTTAAACTTTCTCTCCTTTTTTTTTATACAATAAATACATTTATGCAAAAAACTTGTTAAAATGAACTAACTTTAATGCCAACTATTTTCCTTTCAAATAAACTGCCTTTTCTGAGTCTCCCATGGGTGTATGCGCCGTCTGCTAACTGCCTTGTTTCAGGAAATGTTCTAAATTCCAGACATTTCGAATGGTTGGTCAGAGAGTGAACATTTTTGAAACGATTCAATTCAGAGAATATTTATTATATCATGGACTTGAACTAGAGAGGGTTTTAATCATGGGCAGAAATCGGTGATATTTTCAAAATTTATATTGAAGAAATTCCTAAAACCGCGCAAATAAAATGTTGCGGCAAACTAAATATTTGTGACTTCAACTTTTACTTTTTTGCATTACTTTTGTACAAGATCCTGCCAAAGATATTGTAAAATATAAGTAAATTTATTTTTCTTATTTTATATAAATTACTTTTAATTTACTTTACAAATTAAATAAAATGTATGTTTATGTAATTTAAATTTTATTTTATATAATTTATTTTTAATAAAGATTTGTTATAAATTTTAAAATAAAAAATTCCTAAATATTGTTTTATTTGTAAATTTAGTTTACATTTGGTAGCATATTACTTTTATGTAACTTACTTTCATATGCGAGTTACTTTTTAAATTAATTTTTTATTTTATTTAGTTACTTTTTTGAGTAAGTGTAAATTACAGTTCGAGGAGTTTTTTATATGTAATGTGATTTCAAAAGTAATTAACTTTTAAATGTAAAAGTAAACAGCTTTTTCATGTAACTTAATTTACCTATAAAAGTAAATTACTTTTTGATGTAATCTTCTTTTACTCTAGACTCTAGAACACATAAAGGGCACTTTAAAGCATGGGTTACAAGATATAATACAGGATTCTTATATGAAGTCTAAATACATGTTTTTACGTCAGTTGGATAAAAAAGTATTCTGCTAAAATTATTCACAAAATTATAAAATATATAAAGGGCACAAAGAACACACATTGAAAAACATAAAAAAAATAAACACTCAAAAGGAAAGTCATTAACTTTTCTAAAATAATTATATAGTCGCAATATGTTTTTAAAATATATTTTTAAGCTTCATGAATTAAAAAAATCTTATAATCCTCTAATCATATAACTGT